AGGTGGACAGCCAAAAGTCATCCCTCTGTCTGATGGTTATTATTCGGCTGTCGCTACGCAAGCAACCGAGCATGCTATGGGCCATTTGTGCCAAGGAATGCGAGGGACTCTCCCTGCCTCCATCTCCACAGCATACTGCCACGGTGCGTTTGGGTCCTCTGTCTCCTCCTCCTCCTCCTCTACCAGATGCTCCTGCTCCTCCACTCCTGTCCGCTGAGTGGAAAAACCACCCATTTCACTCAATAATTCCTGAGCACCAATGTCCTCCTCTAGGGGCCCATGGCTCCTCTTCTTCCTGTCCTGCCCCCACAGGGGTCATGTGGCGTTGAGATCTGTGCGCCACGTCTACCGCACCCTGACCAGCCATTGTTAACAGCATTTGTTCCAGGACGTGCAACAGAGGAATGACGTCGTTCATCCCATAGTCCTGCCGACTCTCACAAATAGCGTGGCCTCCTCAAAGGGCCTGAGCAAGCGCCTGGGTGTCAGCATATGGGAGGCTGCCAATGGCTGACCCATCAAAAACACAGGGAACACACCAGCAGCTTGTAACAGGAGAGGAAATGAAAGTGGCCTTTCGCTGAGTGTTCGTAAAGGCGGTCTAAGCATATGTAGGGTTGAAATTCCACCTTGTTGCTCTGGACGTCAGCAGCATGAGGAGGCGGTACGGGGGCCCATGGCAGATTACGGGCCTGGCAGCAGCAATGGGAGGCCCGTAATCTGCCAGCACCCTATGACAAAAAATGGAACACACCAGCAGTGTGAGGAGATCTGAAAGTGGCACATGGCAGAGTGTGGCGATGGAGACAGCAGCAATGGGGAGGCCGTACAGGGACCCATGAGAGACTCTGGACCTGGCAGCAGCATGAGGAGGCGGTATAGGGGCCCATGGCAGATTGGGCCTGGCAGCAGCTATGGGAGGCCCGTAATCTGCCAGCACCCTATGTCAAAAAATGGAACACACCAGCAGTGTGAGGAGACCTGAAAGTGGCACATGGCAGAGTGTGGCGATGGAGACAGCAGCAATGGGAGGCCGTACAGGGACCCATGAGAGACTCTGGACCTGGCAGCAGCATGAGGAGGGCGGTGGTATAGGGGCCCATGGCAGATTAGGGGCCTGGCAGCAGCAGCTATGGGAGGCCCGTAATCTGCCAGCACCCTATGACAAAAAAAAATTGAACACACCAGCAGTGTGAGGAGACCTGAAAGTGGCACATGGCATGAGACACTGTGGACCTGGCAGCAGCATGAGGAGGCGGTACAGGGGCCCATGGCAGATTAGGGGCCTGGCAGCAGCTATGGGAGGCCCGTAATCTGCCAGCACCCTATGACAAAAAAATGAAACACACCAGCAGTGTGTGAGGAGACCTGAAAGTGGCACATGGCAGAGTGTGGCGATGGAGACAGCAGCAATGGGAGGCCGTACAGGGACCCATGAGAGACTCTGGACTTGGCAGCAGCATGAGGAGGCGGTATAGGGGCCCATGGCAGATTAGGGGCCTGGCAGCAGCTATGGGAGGCCCGTAATCTGCCAGCACCCTATGACAAAAAAATGGGAACACACCAGCAGTGTGAGGAGACCTGAAAGTGGCACATGGCATGAGACACTGTGGACCTGGCAGCAGCATGAGGAGGCGGTACAGGGGCCCATGGCAGATTAGGGGCCTGGCAGCAGTTATGAGGAGGCCCGTAATAGGGGCCAGCCCCCAATGTCAGATTAAAAATTGCCTGGCACCAGCAGTGTGAGGAGACCTGCCAGCAAAGTGGCAAAAAATGGCAGAGTGTGGCGATGAAGAGTGGCATGGCAGAGTGTGGCGATGGGACGTACAGCAATGGGAGGCCGTACAGGGACCCATGAGAGACTCTGGACTTGGCAGCAGCATGAGGAGGCGGTATAGGGGCCCATGGCAGATTAGGGGCCTGGCAGCAGCTATGGGAGGCCCGTAATCTGCCAGCACCCTATGTCAAAAAATTGAACACACCAGCAGTGTGAGGAGACCTGAAAGTGGCACATGGCATGGCGATGGAGACACTGTGGACCTGGCAGCAGCATGAGGAGGCGGTACAGGGGCCCATGGCAGATTAGGGGCCTGGCAGCAGCTATGGGAGGCCCGTAATCTGCCAGCACCCTATGTCAAAAAATGGAACACACACCAGCAGTGTGTGAGGAGACCTGAAAGTGTGGCACATGGCAGAGTGTGGCGATGGAGACAGCAGCAATGGGAGGCCGTACAGGGACCCATGACACTCTGGACTTGGCAGCAGCATGAGGAGGCGGCGGTACAGGGGCCCATGGCAGATTAGGGGCCTGGCAGCAGCTATGGGAGGCCCGTAATCTGCCAGCACCCTATGACAAAAAATGGAACACACCAGCAGTGTGAGGAGACCTGAAAGTGGCACATGTTTGGGGCATGATTCATGGCGGATTTAGTCAGTTGTGTCAGGCAACTGGTGGTTTGAAATGGGAGGACTAATCCACGCCTGATTCATATTTCAAAAACGTGAGTCTCTCACACACTTTGAGGTGGACAGTCGTGTCCTCCGCGGAGTTACTGGCGCAGCTAGGAGGCGGTCCTGCCGCACTAAACACGGGCTCCGATGCAGCACGCTACTGGAGGGCATGACAGCCTTTCAAGGGCAAATTCAGCTAGTTGGGGCCAAAGGCAGAGTGTGTTTCATTGCCCAGCAGTCAAGGGGATTGTCTACCATCGGTTGGCAGGGTGCTGTCCAAGTAGGCCTAAGCCTGTTGTTTGAGGTCCTGCTCCAGGTCCACCTGATGCTGCTGCTGCTGCTGCGGCTGGTTAGTAGTTTCCTCACTGCGCTGGTGAAGAAAGCTACTCATCATCGACTGCAGCACTGAGGCAGCCGCTGCTGGTGGAGCTGCCACTGCTCCTACCACCCCACCCCTCCCCTGCTGCCATGGCAGCGGAACGCGAGCGCGCACAGGGCCCACAGTGTGTCTGAGGATGGCGTTTGGCGCAGAAAGGCAGAGACCAGCTGACTACATAGGTGGTTTTTATAGTACGTTATTTTGGCCTCCCTCTCAGCAAAAAATGGCCACCATTTTTGAACGGTAGCGAGGGTCCAACAAAGGTGGACAGCCAAAAGTCATCCCTCTGTCTGATGGTTATTATTCGGCTGTCGCTACGCAAGCATGAGAGCATGCTATGGGCCATTTGTGCCAAGGAATGCGAGGGACTCCCTGCCTCCATCTCCACAGCATACTGCCACGGTGCGTTTGGGTCCTCTGTAATCTCCTCCTCCTCCTCTACCAGATGCTCCTGCTCCTCCACTCCTGTCCGCTGAGTGGAAAAACCACCCATTTCACTCAATAATTCCTGAGCACCAATGTCCTCCTCTACCTCCTCCTCTTCTTCCTGTCCTGCCCCCACAGGGGTCATGTGGCGTTGAGATCTGTGCGCCACGTCTACCGCACCCTGACCAGCCATTGTTAACAGCATTTGTTCCAGGACGTGCAACAGAGGAATGACGTCGTTCATCCCATAGTCCTGCCGACTCACGAATAGCGTGGCCTCCTCAAAGGGCCTGAGCAAGCGCAGGTGTCACGCATGAGCTGCCAATGGCTGACATCTAAGTTACACAGGGAGTACCTTTATCCGCTTGTAACATCAGGAAATCTGTGATGGCCTTTCGCTGTTCGTAAAGGCGGTCTAACATATGTAGGGTTGACCCATTCCACCTTGTTGCAACGTCACAGCATGAGGAGTCGGGTACGGGGGCCCATGGCAGATTAGGGGCCTGGCAGCAGCAATGGGAGGCCCGTAATCTGCCAGCACCCTATGACAAAAAATGAAAACACACCAGCAGTGTGTGAGGAGACCTGAAAGTGGCACATGGCAGAGTGTGGCGATGGAGACAGCAGCAATGGGAGGCCGTACAGGGACCCATGAGAGACTCTGGACCTGGCAGCAGCATGAGGAGGCGGTATAGGGGCCCATGGCAGATTAGGGGCCTGGCAGCAGCTATGGGAGGGCCCGTAATCTGCCAGCAGCACCCTATGACAAAAAATGGAACACACCAGCAGTGTGTGAGGAGACCTGAAAGTGGCACATGGCAGAGTGTGGCGATGGACAGACAGCAGCAATGGGAGGCCGTACAGGGACCCATGAGAGACTCTGCACCTGGCAGCAGCATGAGGAGGCGGTATAGGGGCCCATGGCAGATTAGGGGCCTGGCAGCAGCAGCTATGGGAGGCCCGTAATCTGCCAGCACCCTATGTCAAAAAAATTGAACACACCAGCAGTGTGAGGAGACCTGAAAGTGGCACATGGCATGAGAGACACTGTGGACCTGGCAGCAGCATGAGGAGGAGGGCGGTACAGGGGCCCATGGCAGATTAGGGGCCTGGCAGCAGCTATGGGAGGCCCGTAATCTGCCAGCACCCTATGACAAAAAATGGAACACACCAGCAGTGTGTGAGGAGACCTGAAAGTGGCACATGGCAGAGTGTGGCGATGGAGACAGCAGCAATGGGAGGCCGTACAGGGACCCATGAGAGACTCTGGACTGGCAGCAGCATGAGGAGGCGGTATAGGGGCCCATGGCAGATTAGGGGCCTGGCAGCAGCTATGGGAGGCCCGTAATCTGCCAGCACCCTATGACAAAAAATGGAACACACCAGCAGTGTGTGAGGAGACCTGAAAGTGGCACATGGCAGTGTGTGGCGATGGAGACAGCAGCAATGGGAGGCCGTACAGGGACCCATGAGAGACTGTGGACCTGGCAGCAGCATGAGGAGGCGGGTATAGGGGCCCATGGCAGATTAGGGGCCTGGCAGCAGCTATGGGAGGCCCGTAATCTGCCAGCACCCTATGTCAAAAAATGGAACACACCAGCAGTGTGAGGAGACCTGAAAGTGGAAAGTGGCACAGTGTGGCATGGCATGAGACAGCAGCAATGGGACCGTACAGGGACCCATGAGAGCACTGGCCTGGCAGCAGCATGAGGAGGCGGTACAGGGGCCCATGGCAGATTAGGGGCCTGGCAGCAGCTATGGGAGGCCCGTAATCTGCCAGCACCCTATGACAAAAAATTGAACACACCAGCAGTGTGAGGAGACCTGAAAGTGGCACATGGCAGAGTGGCGATGGGCAGAGCATGTGGACCCATGAGAGGCTGGCTGGCAGCATGAGGAGGCGGTACAGGGGCCCATGGCAGCAGATTAGGGGCCTGGCAGCAGCTATGGGAGGCCCGTAATCTGCCAGCACCCTATGACAAAAAAATGGAACACACCAGCAGTGTGAGGAGACCTGAAAGTGGCACATGGCAGAGTGTGGCGATGGAGACAGCAGCAATGGGAGGCCGTACAGGGACCCATGAGAGACTCTGGACTGGCAGCAGCATGAGGAGGCGGTATAGGGGCCCATGGCAGATTAGGGGCCTGGCAGCAGCTATGGGAGGCCCGTAATCTGCCAGCACCCTATGACAAAAAAATGGAACACACCAGCAGTGTGTGAGGAGACCTGAAAGTGGCACATGGCAGAGTGTGGCGATGGAGACAGCAGCAATGGGAGGCCGTACAGGGACCCATGAGAGACTCTGGACTTGGCAGCAGCATGAGGAGGAGGTGGTATATAGGGGCCCATGGCAGATTAGGGGCCTGGCAGCAGCTATGGGAGGCCCGTAATCTGCCAGCACCCTATGACAAAAAATTGGAACACACCAGCAGTGTGAGGAGACCTGAAAGTGGCACATGGCAGAGTGTGGCATGAGACACTGTGGGAGGCCTGGCAGCAGCATGAGAGACTCTGGGGTGAGGACGGTACAGGGGCCCATGGCAGATTAGGGGCCTGGCAGCAGCTATGGGAGGCCCGTAATCTGCCAGCACCCTATGACAAAAAATGGAACACACCAGCAGTGTGAGGAGACCTGAAAGTGGCACATGGCAGAGTGTGGCGATGGAGACAGCAGCAATGGGAGGCCGTACAGGGACCCATGAGAGACTCTGGACTTGGCAGCAGCATGAGGAGGCGGTATAGGGGCCCATGGCAGATTAGGGGCCTGGCAGCAGCTATGGGAGGCCCGTAATCTGCCAGCACCCTATGACAAAAAATGGAACACACCAGCAGTGTGAGGAGACCTGAAAGTGGCACACATGGCAGAGTGTGGCGATGGAGACAGCAGCAATGGGAGGCCGTACAGGGACCCATGAGAGACTCTGGACCTGGCAGCAGCATGAGGAGGCGGTATAGGGGCCCATGGCAGATTAGGGGCCTGGCAGCAGCTATGGGAGGCCCGTAATCTGCCAGCACCCTATGTCAAAAAATTGAACACACCAGCAGTGTGAGGAGACCTGAAAGTGGCACATGGCATGAGACACTGTGGACCTGGCAGCAGCATGAGGAGGCGGTACAGGGGCCCATGGCAGATTAGGGGCCTGGCAGCAGCTATGGGAGGCCCGTAATCTGCCAGCACCCTATGACAAAAAATGGAACACACCAGCAGTGTGTGAGGAGACCTGAAAGTGGCACATGGCAGAGTGTGGCGATGGAGACAGCAGCAATGGGAGGCCGTACAGGGACCCATGAGAGACTCTGGACCTGGCAGCAGCATGAGGAGGCGGTACAGGGGCCCATGGCAGATTAGGGGCCTGGCAGCAGCTATGGGAGGCCCGTAATCTGCCAGCACCCTATGACAAAAAATGGAACACACCAGCAGTGTGAGGAGACCTGAAAGTGGCACATGTTTGGGGCATGATTCATGGCGGATTTAGTCAGTTGTGTCAGGAACTGGTGGTTTGAAATCCAGACTAATCCACGCCTGATTCATTTTCACAAACGTGAGTCTCTCCACACTTTGGGTGGACAGTGGTGTCCTCCGCGGATGGAGTTACAATACCTCCTGCCGCACTAAACACGCGCTCCGATGCCACGCTACTGGCCGGGCATGACAGCCTTTCAAGGGCAAATTCAGCTAGTTGGGGCCAAAGGTCAAGTTTCGTTGCCCAGTAGTCAAGGGGATTGTCTACCTCGGTTGGCAGGGTGCTGTCCAAGTAGGCCCAAGCCTGTTGTTTGTTTGAGGTCCTGCTCCAGGTCCACCTGATGCTGCTGCTGCTGCGGCTGGTAGTAGTTTCCTCACTGCGCTGGTGAAGAAAGCTACTCATCATCGACTGCAGACTGAGGCAGCCGCTGCTGGTGGAGCTACCACTGCTCCTACCACCCCACCCCTCCCCTGCTGCCATGGCAGCGGAACGCGCGAGCGCACAGGGCCCACAGTGTCTGAGGATGGACGTTGGCGCACAAAGGCAGAGACCAACTGACTACATAGGTGGTTTTTATAGTACGTTATTTTGGCCTCCCTCTCAGCAGGTGTGAAAAAGGCCACCATTTTTGAACGGTAGCGAGGGTCCAACAAGGTGGACAGCCAAAAGTCATCCCTCTGTCTGATGGTTATTATTCGGCTGTCGCTACGCAAGCAAGCGAGCATGCTATGGGCCATTTGTGCCAAGGAATGCGAGGGACTCCCTGCCTCCATCTCCACAGCATACTGCCACGGTGCGTCTGGGGTCTGGGTCCTCTCCTCCTCCTCCTCTACCAGATGCTCCTGCTCCTCCACTCCTGTCCGCTGAGTGGAAAAACCACCCATTTCACTCAATAATTCCTGAGCAGCAATGTCCTCCTCTACCTCCTCCTCTTCTTCCTGTCCTGCCCCCACAGGGGTCATGTGGCGTTGAGAGACCTGTGCGCCATGGTCTACCGCACCCTGAGACAGCCATTGTTAACAGCATTTGTTCCAGGACGTGCAACAGAGGAATGACGTCGTTCATCCCATAGTCCTGCCGACTCACTATGGGAGGCCCGTAATCTGCCAACACCCTATAAGCGTAGCGTGGCCTCCTCAAAGGGCCCTGAGCAAGCGGCAGGTGTCACGCATGAGCTGCCAATGGCTGACATCGAAGTTGCACAGGGGGAGTACCTTTATCCGCTTGTAACATCAGGAAATCGGTGATGGCCTTTCGCTGTTCGTAAAGGCGGTCTACCATGTGTAGGGGTTGAATTCCACCTTGTTGCAACGTCGCAGATCAGGCGATGCTGTGGAATTCCGTTCTGCCGCTGCAGCTCAAGGAGGGTGTGCTTTGCGGTGTAGGAATGGCTGAAATGCATGCAAAGTTTACGTGACATTTTAAGGATGTCTTGCAGTGGGATGGTGGATTTTAGGAACCGCTTGACTGGCACCAGATTGAACGCGTGAGGCCATGCATGGCGCATGGCACAACCTTCCTTGACGCAGAGCAGACACCATGTTCTTTCCGTTGTCGGTCAACATGGTTCCGATTTTCAGTTTGCGCGGAGACAGCCATCTGTCGATTCTCTCTCTGTTCATTACACTGAGAAGTTCCTCCCCTGTGTGACTACGTTCGCCTGGACCTGGCAGCAGCATGAGGAGGCGGTATAGGGGCCCATGGCAGATTAGGGGCCTGGCAGCAGCTATGGGAGGCCCGTAATCTGCCAGCACCCTATGACAAAAAATTGAACACACACCAGCAGTGTGTGAGGAGACCTGAAAGTGGCACATGGCAGAGTGTGTGTGGCGATGGAGACAGCAGCAATGGGAGGCCGTACAGGGACCCATGAGAGACTCTGGACTTGGCAGCAGCATGAGGAGGCGGTATAGGGGGCCCATGGCAGATTAGGGGCTGGCAGCAGCTATGGGAGGCCCGTAATCTGCCAGCACCCTATGTCAAAAAATTGAACACACCAGCAGTGTGAGGAGACCTGAAAGTGGCACATGGCATGAGACACTGTGGACCTGGCAGCAGCATGAGGAGGCGGTACAGGGGCCCATGGCAGATTAGGGGCCTGGCAGCAGCTATGGGAGGCCCGTAATCTGCCAGCACCCTATGTCAAAAAATTGAACACACCAGCTGTGTGTGAGGAGACCTGAAAGTGGCACATGGCAGAGTGTGGCGATGGAGACAGCAGCAATGGGAGACGCCGTACAGGGACCCATGAGAGACTCTGGACCTGGCAGCAGCATGAGGAGGCGGTACAGGGGCCCATGGCAGATTAGGGGCCTGGCAGCAGCTATGGGAGGCCCGTAATCTGCCAGCACCCTATGACAAAAAATGGAACACACCAGCAGTGTGAGGAGACGTGAAAGTGGCACATGGGGCATGATTCATGGCGGATTTAGTCAGTTGTGTCAGGAACTGGTGGTTTGAAATCCAGGACTAATCCACGCCTGATTCATTTTCACAAACGTGAGTCTCTCCACACTTTGGGTGGACAGTCGTGTCCTCCGCGGAGTTACAATACCTCCTGCCGCACTAAACACGCGCTCCGATGCCACGCTACTGGCCAGCAGTGGGGCATGACAGCCTTTCAAGGGCAAATTCAGCTAGTTGGGGCCAAAGGTCAAGTTTCGTTGCCCAGTAGTCAAGGGGATTGTCTACCTCGGTTGGCAGGGTGCTGTCCAAGTAGGCCCAAGCCTGTTGTTTGAGGTCCTGCTCCAGGTCCACCTGATGCTGCTGCTGCTGCGGCTGGTTAGTAGTTTCCTCACTGCGCTGGTGAAGAAAGCTACTCATCATCGACTGCAGACTGAGGCAGCCGCTGCTGGTGGAGCTACCACTGCTCCTACCTACCCCTCCCCTCCCCTGCTGCCATGGCAGCGGAACGCGAGCGCACAGGGCCCACAGTGTCTGAGGATGGACGTTGGCGCAGAAAGGCAGAGACCAGCTGACTACATAGGTGGTTTTTATAGTACGTTATTTTGGCCTCCCTCTCAGCAGGTGTGAAAAAGGCCACCATTTTTGAACGGTAGCGAGGGTCCAAGGTGGTGGACAGCCCAAAAGTCATCCCTCTGTCTGATGGTTATTATTCGGCTGTCGCTACGCAAGCAAGCGCGAGCATGCTATGGGCCATTTGTGCCAAGGAATGCGAGGGACTCCCTGCCTCCATCTCCACAGCATACTGCCACGGTGCGTCTGGGTCCTCTGTCTCCTCCTCCCTCCTCTCTACCAGATGCTCCTGCTCCTCCACTCCTGTCCGCTGAGTGGAAAAACCACCCATTTCACTCAATAATTCCTGAGCACAATGTCCTCCTCTACCTCCTCCTCTTCTTCCTGTCCTGCCCCCACAGGGGTCATGTGGCGTTGAGATCTGTGCGCCACGTCTACCGCACCCTGACCAGCCATTGTTAACAGCATTTGTTCCAGGACGTGCAACAGAGGAATGACGTCGTTCATCCCATAGTCCTGCCGACTCACGAATAGCGTGGCCTCCTCAAAGGGCCTGAGCAAGCGGCAGGTGTCACGCATGAGCTGCCAATGGCTGACATCGAAGTTGCACAGGGGAGTACCTTTATCCGCTTGTAACATCAGGAAATCGGTGATGGCCTTTCGCTGTTCGTAAAGGCGGTCTACCATGTGTAGGGTTGAATTCCACCTTGTTGCAACGTCGCAGATCAGGCGATGCTGTGGAATTCCGTTCTGCCGCTGCAGCTCAAGGAGGGTGTGCTTTGCGGTGTAGGAATGGCTGAAATGCATGCAAAGTTTACGTGACATTTTAAGGATGTCTTGCAGTGGGATGGTGGATTTTAGGAACCGCTTGACAACCAGATTGAACGCGTGAGCCATGCATGGCGCATGGCACAACCTTCCTTGACGCAGAGCAGACACCATGTTCTTTCCGTTGTCGGTCAACATGGTTCCGATTTTCATTTTGCGCGGAGACAGCCATCTGTCGATTTCTCTGTTCATTACACAGAGAAGTTCCTCCCCTGTGTGACTACGTTCGCCTGGACCTGGCAGCAGCATGAGGAGGCGGTATAGGGCCCATGGCAGATTAGGGGCCTGGCAGCAGCTATGGGAGGCCCGTAATCTGCCAGCACCCTATGACAAAAAATTGAACACACCAGCAGTGTGTGAGGAGACCTGAAAGTGGCACATGGCAGAGTGTGGCGATGGAGACAGCAGCAATGGGAGGCCGTACAGGGACCCATGAGACACTCTGGACCTGGCAGCAGCATGAGGAGGTGGTACAGGGGCCCATGGCAGATTAGGGGCCTGGCAGCAGCTATGGGAGGCCCGTAATCTGCCAGCACCCTATGACAAAAAATTGAACACACCAGCAGTGTGAGGAGACCTGAAAGTGGCACATGGCATGACACACTGTGGACCTGGCAGCAGCATGAGGAGTCGGTACAGGGGCCCATGGCAGATTAGGGGCCTGGCAGCAGCAATGGGAGGCCCGTAATCTGCCAGCACCCTATGACAAAAAATGGAACACACCAGCAGTGTGTGAGGAGACCTGAAAGTGGCACATGGCAGAGTGTGGCATGAGACACTGTGGACCATGGCTGGACCTGGCAGCAGCATGAGGAGGCGGTACAGGGGCCCATGGCAGATTAGGGCCTGGCAGCAGCT